GGGGACCTGGATAGGCTGCAGACCTGGTCCCAAGTGGAAGTTAAGTTTAACTCCACCAAGTGCAAATTTATGAAGCCTGGGAAAGGATAAAGAAGACCACAGATTGAGTAAATGCTCGTGGGGCGAAGACTGCAAACCTCGTTCAAGAAAAAGAATCTAGAGGGTGAGCATCATACCGAGCACATCTGAGGCGCACATCAACGATATGCGCAACTCCACATATACCCACATGCTGGAACTGTTACATTGTAGCATATGGGTGCCAGGAAAACTTAAGAATAGCATTTCTTCTTCTGAGTAAGAAGTCGTTCAAGACACTGTACAGTATGTATGTCAGACAATAAAGAAGTATGTAGCACCAGTGTGGAATCCACACCTGGGAAACACGTCAAGAAACAGTAGAAACTCCAAATGTTTGGGCATGACTAGTCCAGGAGCTAAGGGGATATGTCCTACGAGGAGAGGTTAAGGGAAATCAACCTAATAACACTAGAGGAGAGGAGGGATGGGGTGGACACGATAACAACACATAAAATACTGAGAGGAATTGACCAGGTGGATTGTGACAGAATGATTCAGAAATAGGACAAGGCACAAAGGGGTCACAAGTGAAAGTTGAAAATTCAAATGAATCACAGAAATGTTGGAAAGTATTTCTATAGTCAGAGTTGTCAAGAACTGGAACAATCTGGAATGCAAAATGTTTTCATAGCTTCAAGTAGAGGTGCAACAAAGCTCCTGGAGCAGGGAGGGAGTGAATCTAGTAAAGATCAGCGAATAGGCGAGGTCAGGAGCAACGAAATTGCTCCCCCTAGATAACTTTACCATAAAATCAGCTCAAAAAATACAAGTCAAGCTCGTTAATCTTTTAATTAATTAATTATGGCACAATATAAAAATTACAGTTGCACTTTCCTAGCTTTCACTGATGCAAAGTGATCTAAGATGTGATCAAATTCACTGCTTTCATTTTTTTCTCATTGTACACTTAACAGAGCATGAAAACTCTTAAATACAAAAGTATTAGTTTTAACTTGCTGAATGATTCCTCACATCTGGCGATGGAAACTGCGATGGTCGGTATTATGTGAATAGCAATGCGAAGATTAGGGAAGGCGCTCTCATTTCCATTCTGAAGAATAAATTCGAGAAGTTCTTTCCGTCTTAATATTTTCATGTTGGCCCGACTTGATAGCAACATTCTGTAGTCCATTTTTTTTTTCATATAGCTGCTGTCCATCAACATCAGAGCTATAAAATTCGCCCAAATTTTCGCAACTCTTCTTTAGTTGGTTAGTGTCGGGGCCGTAACACAGTCCCTTGATATCGAGAAAGAACCTAAACATGGCGTCAGTGTCGTGCAAACCAGTGAATCTTTCATCCATTTCTCTGTGAAGACGGTCGAATGTTCCCTTCATGACTTGACATTTCCTCCTTCGCTGTTAGCCAGAGTCTGTGGAAATCTCATCAGTCATTCGTTTCATTCGTCTCTGCCGTCTTTCAACTTCAACATTCCATTCTTGACAGAGACCATGTCCTTCCTCGAGTGACTCACTGACTAACACTTCTTATTCATCAACATATTGATCTCGGAGGCTTTCAGATCTGTGTCAGCTGTGGTACTCTGAGGTATGTGATCACGGAGCTCCCAGCACTGTAAATTTACATAATAATTTATATAATTAGTTTAACAATCTAGACATCCTAGTGCTTCTCGCCCAGGATAATCAAAGACAGATAATACACATGAAGAAAATTCATTTATCACCGTCAGAGGATGGCTCATCTGACTTTATTAAAAACTGCTCAGGGACACCCACAATATGTTACTCTCAGGGCACATGCCACACCTGCCAGACATTAGGTATACCACTGACTGCATGTGCTAGATGAGATACAGAGCTGACCTCAGTCACTGTTTAGGTGGTATCATGGAAGAGTGTTTTTGTCTTCCTTCACGGACTTGACAAATTCCAGTATGTTTGGCATCTACTCGCTTCCCATCTATCGAAAGTAGTAAACAAGAGTCACGGTGTGTTACTGATGCTGAACCACGAGACACGCTGTGTTACTGATACTGAGTCACGAGACACGCTGTGTTACTGATAGTGAGCCACGAGACACGCTGTGTTACTGATACTGAGCCACGAGACACGCTGTGTTACTGATAGTGAGCCACGAGACACGCTGTGTTACTGATGGTGGGCCACGAGACACGGTATGTTGATGATGCCGAGCCACGAGACACGCTGCGTTACTGAGGCCGAGACACGAGTCACGGTATGTTGATGATGCCGAGCCACGAGACACGCTGTGTTACTGATACTGAGCCACGAGACACGCTGTGTTACTGATAGTGAGCCACGAGATACGCTGTGTTACTGATGCCGAGACACGAGTCACAGTATGTTGATGATGCCGAGCCACGAGACACGCTGTGTTACTGATACTGAGCCACGAGACACGCTGTGTTACTGATACTGAGTCACGAGACACGCTGTGTTACTGATAGTGAGTCACGAGACACGCTGTGTTACTGATAGTGAGCCACGAGACACGCTGTGTTACTGATGGTGAGCCACGAGACACGCTGTGTTACTGATGGTGAGCCACGAGACACGCTGTGTTACTGATGGTGAGCCACGAGACACGCTGTGTTACTGATAGTGAGCCACGAGACACGCTGTGTTACTGATAGTGAGTCACGAGACACGCTGTGTTACTGATAGTGAGTCACGAGACACGCTGTGTTACTGATGGTGAGCCACGAGACACGCTGTGTTACTGATGGTGAGCCACGAGACACGCTGTGTTACTGATGGTGAGCACGAGACACGCTGTGTTACTGATAGTGAGCCACGAGACACGCTGTGTTACTGATAGTGAGTCACGAGACACGCTGTGTTACTGATAGTGAGTCACGAGACACGCTGTGTTACTGATAGTGAGCCACGAGACACGCTGTGTTACTGATGGTGAGCCACGAGACACGCTGTGTTACTGATGGTGAGCCACGAGACACGCTGTGTTACTGATGGTGAGCCACGAGACACGCTGTGTTACTGATAGTGAGCCACGAGACACGCTGTGTTACTGATAGTGAGTCACGAGACACGCTGTGTTACTGATAGTGAGCCATGAGACACGCTGTGTTACTGATAGTGAGCCACGAGACACGCTGTGTTACTGATAGTGAGCCACGTTGCTGTATAACAACTATATATTATTAATATGGACCGGTGAAACATGTAAGATAAGAGCAGTGATAGCAAGAGTCTGGATGGCGGTAAACACACTAGTGATTCAGTGCACCAGTAAACTTGTTCAATATCCAACACTTAAATAACACATATTTCTTTAATGTTTAGTTCTGTTAAAACACTGATTCACTTCTACTGGTGTGTTGCAGGAAGTCCAGTGTCTCAACACTTTTACTGGTGTGTTGTAGAAAGTCAGTGTCTCAACACTTTTACTGGTGTGTTGTAGGAAGTCAGTGTCTCAACACTTTTACTGGTGTGTTGTAGGAAGTCAGTGTCTCAACACTTTTACTGGTGTGTTGTAGGAAGTCCAGTGTCTCAACACTTTTACTGGTGTGTTGTAGGAAGTCCAGTGCCTCAACACTTTTACTGGTGTGTTGTAGGAAGTCAGTGTCTCAACACTTTTACTGGTGAGTTGTAGGAAGTCCAGTGTCTCAACACTTTTACTGGTGTGTTGTAGGAAGTCCAGTGCCTCAACACTTTTACTGGTGTGTTGTAGGAAGTCCAGTGTCTCAACACTTTTACTGGTGTGTTGTAGGAAGTCAGTGTCTCAACACTTTTACTGGTGTGTTGTAGGAAGTCCAGTGTCTCAACACTTTTACTGGTGTGTTGTAGGAAGTCAGTGTCTCAACACTTTTACTGGTGTGTTGTAGGAAGTCAGTCTCTGAACACTTTTACTGGTGTGTTGTATGAAGTCAGTGTCTCAACACTTTTACTGGTGTGTTGCAGGAAGTCCAGTGTCTCTACACTTTTACTGGTGTGTTGTAGGAAGTCAGTGTCTCAACACTTTTACTGGTGTGTTGTAGGAAGTCAGTGTCTCAACACTTTTACTGGTGTGTTGTAGGAAGTCAGTGTCTCAACACTTTTACTGGTGTGTTGCAGGAAGTCCAGTGTCTCAACACTTTTACTGGTGTGTTGTAGTAAGTCAGTGTCTCAACACTTTTACTGGTGTGTTGTAGGAAGTCCAGTGTCTCAACACTTTTACTGGTGTGTTGTAGGAAGTCCAGTGTCTCAACACTTTTACTGGTGTGTTGTAGGAAGTCAGTGTCTCAACACTTTTACTGGTGTGTTGTAGTAAGTCAGTGTCTCAACACTTTTACTGGTGTGTTGTAGGAACTCTAGTGCCTCAACACTTTTACTGGTGTGTTGTAGGAAGTCCAGTGTCTCAACACTTTTACTGGTGTGTTGTAGGAAGTCCAGTGTCTCAACACTTTTACTGGTGTGTTGTAGGAAGTCCAGTGCCTCAACACTTTTACTGGTGTGTTGTAAGAAGTCCAGTGCCTCAACACTTTTACTGGTGTGTTGTAAGAAGTCCAGTGCCTCAACACTTTTACTGGTGTGTTGTAAGAATTCCATTGTCTCAACACTTTTACTGGTGTGTTGTAGGAAGTCCAGTGTCTCAACACTTTTACTGGTGTGTTGCAGCAAGTTCAGTGCCTCAACACTTTATCTCGAGATACTCCCCAGATAGGGAGCCAAGGCCGGGTCACCACTACTTGGAAAAGACCCGGGCCGGGAGAATACCGGCGAATAAAAAAAACAAAATTACACACGTCCTCCTTCCCCCCACGTCTCTCTCTCTCTCTCTCTCTCTCTCTCTCTCTCTCTCTCTCTCTCTCTCTCTCTCTCTCTCTCTCTCTCTCTCTCTCTATCTCTCTCTCTCTCTCTCTCTCTCTCTCTCTCTCTCTCTCTCTCTCTCTCTCTCTCTCTTTCGATCTCTCTCTCTCTCTCTCTCTCACTCAC